TTGAGATGACGAAGACGGCCGCAATCACTACGCCCGATAGAAGAGGAATTTCAAAACATGATCTGCGCGTCCATTTGTGCCGTGTGTAATTCTCAATAAAAAGCATTAAAAAATTTGAGATGTTACTTCAAAATACGTATAAATGTAAAAAAAAACATTACATCTATAGGTTTAACCGTTTATAAAATTAATTCTCAAAAATCACCTTTAAAACGGACGTTCACACTAGAATACCCTCTTAATAAACGATGCTTATAAACTGGATGAGGAAATATTCGCAATAAGTTCTTTACTGTATTTTAAAATGCTTATAAGCATCGATTTATTAAGAATTGAAAATAAATTGTGATCTCACTATTCGAGTTAATGATTGCATTGCAAGTCCGAAATTGATTCGAACTTCGGCGCAGTTTAAATAGCTGAAAAATGAATTTAAAAATTCATATAAAATTTATTATGCACCAAGATCCAGCTGTGACCGTAGAAAGTGCTCTCGAATTTATTTGTTGTCATCCACATACGCGGTCTTCAAATTATTCTTATATTCAAATTAATATTATGAGTTAAAAAATTACTTTTTTTTTCGATTCGTACAGCTCTCACCTGACGTAAACAGGTTCCTTAGTTTAAAAGTTCTGTAGCTTATAATACAAAATGAGTGTACTGTGCAGATTGAATAAACGAATAATACAAAGCCTTTTGAACCACGATTGAAAGCATAGAAAAAAAGACATCCCCTCAACTGCAATTTGCAATATGTATGCATAGTTAGTAATACGTATGCATAGCTAAGATATATAGCTAAGATATCTTAGCTATATATCTTATGTTTTTTAAACATTTATTTAACATTATACTATTAAATATTTTAAAAATATTTAAAAAAACATTGTTACTTGGGATACAGAATCGTAAACAGAGTATCTACTGTGTCTAGCAACAAGTGCCGGATTTTGTAAAAAGTGGTGCTGCAATATATTGGATAAAAACAAATGTACGCGCTGAATAAGACAGAATATTTTAAGAAATTGATTGTATGCCGCATAAGTGCATATTTGTACACAAACTACAAAGTGGCTCTCACAAATTAGTCGGGGCCAATTGGTGTAATTGCACTGTACTCATTTGCACCAGCTTTACACTGTACACTGGTGGCACAGTGCACACTGGTGCAGACTGATGCAGATCGGTCGAAATCGATATTAAAGATACCATTATTATCAATATTTTTAGTTTGAAATTGAAGTCTGTTTTGTCGACTTCATGCAAACTCATTATTAGCTGCCGTGCCAGCATCTCCTAAGTCCCGAAACACAATAGATGTAGTAAGCCTTAAGCCGTAAGAAATTGACCAATTGCACTCGAATGTGAAGAGAATAATCGGTTACGATTGGTCAATTTCTTACGGCTTACTACACCTATTGTGTTTCGGGACTTAAGGTCCATCTACAATGAGAGTAATAAATTGTAAACCGTAAGAAATTGACCAATCTCATTCGAATATGAGAATGAGATAATATAGATATAGAATAATCGACTATGATTGGTCAATTTCTTACGACTTAAGACTTACTACTCTCATTGTAGATGGACCTTAAGTGTCGATCCACAATAAGGACTTTAAGCCTTACGCTGTAAGATATTGACCAATTACAATCGATTATTCTCTTCATTGTGAACCGACACTAATCTGTCTTATCCAAGATTGTCTCAATTGGTGTCAATAACATTGTTCGACACAAATTTTAGGAATTCGCGCGCGAGCCACGGACTGAAGTGGACGTCCCGGGCGCCGAGTGATTCAGTATTCTAGAATCTTCGCGACGTGTTAGTATCTCACCACGTGATCAGGATATTTAGGCCGAATCATTCTCGCCTGAAGGTAGGTCCCATAAAAGAAAAGAAGACAAGAATTTTAGACCACAAATCAGACCAAAGTTATTTTTTCGAAATTTTTTGTTGTTAAAAATAAATCTATCAATAAAATAACATCACATTTTTTGAGAAATTTGTACTTAAGGTGTCCCAAAAGACTTTTTTCTATTATTGAGTTAAAAACCTTAAAAATGTGATAAGACAATCCTCAGCACAAATTAATTTTCTACGTCAAAAAATCTAAACATTATCTATTATATTGATTGCTTTACGCAAAATATAAATAAATAAATAGTAGTATAATTATAAATAAACAGTAGTTAATAAATAAATTAAAAGAAACTTATGAATCAATTCTAAATAGAATCGTAAGGCTCCTCATTTATTCTCGTAAAACTTATAAGAATTTTTGACTAAATGCTTATAACTTTATGCAATATTATTACAGACAACTTCTTGCTAGCCATAAGATTTACGAGAAATCATAGACATTTACGAATAATTATACATCTTGTGATACGCATAGAATTGCAATTCCAGTCATAAGTTCTTACAAATTTTACAAGAACAACTTACGAGCCTTACAATTCTGCTTAGAATTGACCCGAATTAAATATGTATAGTGTATACACATAATTCTTTGTGAACAGTAATGGACTGCTTATGCAATTCAAATAATGATTCTACATAATGATTCTGGGATGGCCGATTATAAAGAGATCAAAATTGTCAAATATAAATTGTTTAAACAATCATCGTTTAAATAATGTACAAAAAATTTGATTTGAATAAAACTAATAGCACTATTGTAAATTCTATAAAATAATACATATAAACATTCTATTATGCATTATTGCATTATCTTTCCACGATCCTATTTGTTATTCCATTAAAATTGCATAAGCGAACCATTATCACTTTATAAAAAATTATATTTATTTACAAATTTAAGCTCCTTTTAATTTATCTATAACTAACATTTTGCATAAAGCAACCAATAGATGACTTTTATAGATCTTTGGCGTAAAAAATAAATCCATTTTAAGAATTGACATCACTTTTTTTTAGATATTTTAGCTTAAAAATTTTCAAAAATATTTTTAGCACCTTTAAATTCAATTTTCTTTAACATGATAATTTTACTTATGAATTTATTTTCACTAACAAAAAAATTTATAAGAACTACTTGGTCTGGTTTATAGTCTAAAAAAGAAAGTTTAAATTTGTCAGAGTGTAATTATCAGACACCCTGTACGAATAAAACAATTTTTCTATCAATTACCATAACAACGTTCCCTCCTTGTGACACTGACGATGTAGGACTACCCAGAGGTTGTACAGGGGTTGTAGTAGCTGCAGTAGTTGCAGTCTGTGATGTTGTACCCGCAATTTGCATGAGATTTCCATTGAGATTTATCACTGTAAATAAAAGAAAAAAATTGTAAGATTCTTCACTTTAGAATATTATGAAAGGTCTGCTTTGTATCGTGTTGACGTTTTCCAATCTTAATTAAAAGAAAAAATTACATAAAGATATATATAAAATTAGATACAATTTTCACTTACCTGTTGGTTGTGCTTGCTGCACTTGACCTTCCAATTGCACAGGTTGATAGATATATGTCTGCCCGTCAGGAGTTTGAATGATTTGTGGTGTCTGTGGCTGCTGAATAACTATCTGTTGGCCAGTGCTAGTAAGACTCGAAACTGGAACGACTTGAATCTGTCCGTTGGGCGCTGCTACTTGTATCGCTTGTGGAAGCATCATAGTTTGTCCACCCTGACCCATCTGAACAACTTGTACAGCACCACCGGTACTGCCAACCACAACCGCCTGTCCTTCGCTCAGTTGCTCCATGGCAAATTATCACTATCTTTACTACAATGAAGAAAAAATATAGATTTTCTTAGTGAAACGTGACTTAAACAAGACATATCAAAAGTAAATACCGCCAGATATCATTGATACAATGCATATACCGGTTGTATTGTACCGCCATTCAATTTGCATCGCCACTGTCTATTAGTATAGGTTAACAACGCGCGGAATTTACGAGGCAGTTTAGAACAGGCCAGAAATGTAGGTGATGCGGCGTTAACGGCTAACACTGCTTGCCGACGTGTCGGTGGGGGCGACGGCGGTGGCGGACAAGTTGCGTGGATGAACCGGACCACGTGCGTGGATCGCGCGCGCGGGATGCGATGCGTACGATATATCGAGGTTCGAGGCCATGTTTCGTGAGCGGACGAGCGAGGCGAGGCGAGACGAGACCTCGCGACATGCGAGCGTGCGAAGCGCGTCGTCGACGCGTGAAAGCGGGGACGCGGGTGCCTCGTAGATATCGTTGATTCGCGCCATTTTTCGCGATATTACGTTTCTCAGCCGGGAGATACGCGGCCGCCGATACATATACATTTGCGATACGTACTCGCGACCGCGGCAATCCGAACAGGAAACCGAGTCGATCGCCATCGGACATCCGTGTGTGTGGGAAGAGAACATGATATCGTCTCGGCAAACATGGCCGGATGGCAATGGCTTTTCTGGCGTCGGTGAAGGCGACGGCTCGCGCAAAGAGACGCCGCGGGACGCAACCGCGAGAACGGGGTTAATCGCGAACGTGGGCGCGCGACCATGCTGCGTATCGGGTTGATGTTTGATAATTTGTGAACTTACATTGGATATTTTCGTGGGCACTTTCCCAATTGGTCGGCGAATTGAGGACCAATGGTCGGCGAAAGACCGTCCTCAACTCCTTGTGTATTGGTGGTACTGAACGATGTGAACTGACGGTCCGCGATCCAAGACCGGTCGATGCCCCTCCGCGCCTCTACGCGGACGGCCAATCGAGTTACGCGTCTCATCCCCCTCCCTCGAGGCGCGCAGTTCAAAATAAACTTTGATCATCTTTACGCTCAATTTTGCCCGATTTTTCAAGGGTTCGTACAGTCGAACCTCGATAACTCGAACCTCTATAACTCGAAAATCTCTGTAAGACGAAAATTTTGTTCATTCCCTTCCGCTCCACTGCGGAAAACTTCTATAAATCGAAATAAAACCTACCTTAACTCGAATTATTTGTCAGACATTTAGATGTTATTTTTTATCTCTGCAATTCTAATTGAAAGTAATTAGACCTCTATAAGTCGAGCTTCTATTGTCGCTGCCACTATAATTCGAAGTAAAAGCTATGTGTAACCATGAATAATAGCCTGGTATTTATTTTATGATTGCATTTATTATATGTTTGCAATAAATAATCCATTGTCAAATATTGATTTTTTTCCTTTGTAAGCCGTATTATAATCGGAAAATTATAAAGTCTCAAATAAAGCCGCCGTAAGTCGAATTGTCATATTTTAATCCTCTTTTACTCGAATTTCGATAAGTCGAAAACTCTACAACTCAAAGGATTTTTCTCTTCCCTTGAGATTCGAGTTATCGAGGTTCGACTTGTATTATAAAGGATAAAGAGATATTCTTTTCTTTTGTTTCTTTCTGCTAAATCGTTGTTTGTCAATCCATTATACAATATCGACAATATTGATCAACATACAATTTTATTTTTCGATATTGCTCAGAATTAATTTTCAATACTCAATTTCAACTTTGAATCTTAAATTCGCGGATCTGAAAATATAGTAGGATACTTTAATTTTGAATTTAGGAAAATAGTAAAGTAAACTTAAGCAATGTATTATGAAAGAAAATAAAGATTTCTGCTTATAACAAATACAGGTTTTGTTCAATTTTATTTTCTATTTGAACTATTCCTAACTATCGAATTTTTCTCAATGAGAAAACATTACAGGGAAATTCTTGCCTGTTTAAACACACACACACACACACACACACATGTGTGCCTATACAACATAAGATTTTCTTTAAGGTGGTTTTATCGAACAAGTCCCAGTCGAAAGTTAATCTACTAAATGTTGAATTTAATAATTCAACAAAAACATTTCGCATAGACTGTACATATGCGATTGTGTGACGTTTATGTGACAACGTCACACTATCGAGTTGGCGTTGAGCGATAAAATCACCTTATGATTTAATTTAGATGTAATTTAAAAAATCTTGAACTATACGATTAGAGTTAAAAAATTCTGAAAATTTAGGAACGTTAACTGTATATCTAATATTACATGTATAATTGTAAATATTAGTTAATATTTGTCACATTTGTCATTGTAAAATAGAAAGTTTTTCATTATTTATAAATAATTATAAATTACATCACAAAGCCTTTTATGATTTGAGAGAGATGATATAATTATTCTAAATCCTTTCAAGTTTCCTTTTAGATAATTTTTGAAGGTAATAAATTTTGCGTCATTTTTCTTTACAATATTAAAACAATTATAAGAAGAAAATCATCAATATATACAATAAGATTTTATATTGAACAATGATAAAATTGCATTTTTTATATTTTTCTAAAGATATATAGTGTTCTGCTATTATTGCATAAACATTCTTTGGTCATTTTAGAATCGATTTTTCTTTTTCTAAAAAAAAACATACAGACACTTATAGTTGAAATATAATAATTAGCAACTGAAAATAGAAATTATTTTATGAATTAAATTTTAAAACCCGGGAAAAAAGTTCCACATATAATTATATATAATTATATGCGAAATATGTCTATATATGTTTCTTTCCTTTGTAAAATTATTCTTTCATACAAAATTGATAATAATAAGGAAACAAAAAATAATTAAAAGAATAATTTTAACGTTTTTTTGATAAAAAATCAAGTTTGAAGAAATGAAACAAATTGCTCATATATAATCATATATAAGTAATTAAAAATACATATATAATTTTATATGAACAATTTTTCTCATTTCTTCAAACTTGATTTTTTGTAAAAAAACAATGTAAAAATTATTCTTTTAATTATTTTTTTATGTTTCCTAATTATTATCAATTTTGTATTAAAGAATAATTTTACAAAGGAAAGAAACATATGGACATATTTTGCATATAATTATACATAATTATATGTGGAACTTTTTCTCGGGAAGGTACAAATAAATAGCGAAATTATATTTATCAGTTCATTTTGAATAAATTTTATTTTCATAGAATTTTTATTTAAAATCTAATATCATACATTATTAAAGATATGATGTAAAAGAGAGGCCAGTCACGAAAAATGATAATCCTCCTCAATATTTTTATAGAAAAACAACAGATTCAAAATTGGCCAAAATATATGCGATTTTCCACATGCGGTAATGATATTTTATATGTATGTATACAAATGTGTGTGTGTGTGTGTGTATGTGTGTGTGTGTGTGTGTGTGTGTGTGTGTGCGCGCGCGCGTGTGGGCGTGTGCGCGCGCGTTTATCAATAGAATATTACAAATTAATTTTTAACATAAAAATTTTACATAGATATGTGCAAAAGATTATGCCGCACATCTTAATTTTAAACTTCAAAATAAAAAATAAAAGAAAAATGTATATCTATATTCAATAATCTTAAAGCTATTGGTACGTAGCAAGCATAAACAGTAGTAGTAATTTAACATTCTGTATAATACATTACATATTAAAATCGATCCTTCGTCTTAGCATAATAAGCTAGAGTTGTAATTCGGACTTAGGTCGATTTATTTCTGACAAATATATCCTCTTTTAATACCGTATGATGTCAGGGTTCCAGTCAAATGAAATGAAATTATAAATTAATTTGAGAAATTTAACAATCACGATAGAAACGGAACCACCAAATCCTCCTTGTGTTCGACTTTTACATCGCCTAATGCTGTCACAGCCTTGTTGAGCATTTCTGTAATCTGAAATACATTTGATTCATGTAGTAATTTCCATTGTCAGCGAATATTTAGTACTTTCATAACGATAAATGTAAGTCAGATGAAGAAAAGTAGTTTCATAAGTAGTTACCAATTCTTGATCTTCAGTAGCGAGCGGATCGGCTGCCAATATTCGTTCTGGAGCAGGTATATCCTTAAGTAGACAAGATGCAGCCTCAGGAAATTTAATTCGACCTGATTCTATTCTCTTTGAATACGCACGAGATCTGTCCATGTATTCATGCTGTTCTAGATTATGTGTGTCCAACGCACCAACATCTATGACATTGCTGTAAGAATTAAACCATAGAATTATTAGCTTACAATTTTTAAGGTAATTTGTCTTAACAAAAGATGAGATTGTTATAAATAAAATTCTTGTAGACAGTCATATATCTTTTAAAGAAAATTAATAATATAAACATAAAAAAATTAAAGAGTTAAACCAAGTAGAAGATAAAATCCACTCACGCTGCAGTTTCATGTAAAATCCTATTCAATGCACTCTGCTCATCTGTTTTCTTAGGCACAGAACTTGCATATTGGTTAACATAATCATCACTGAAAAAAAAGCAAAGATGATTTGATCTTACTTAAAGTTGATCAGTTCACTTAACTCATGTTCACTCATCATCTGACATTATCTGACAGAGTATAGTATCAAAAACAAGAAAACATACAATAAAATTTCTTGAAAAATATATTCAGATAAAAAGATTTTTCAATAAAACATTTACAGTCAATAAAATAGATTTACAAAATGTATGGAATCTTTTGGTTCCTCAAGGAAGAATTAAATCATTTATTTCTATAACTATATTATTAATTTAATAGTTATGATAGCTATGTAAACATAGCTTATTTTGCTTTCGGTTAAGCATAATTTATTTCCAAATATATAGTTATTTATTAATTAACAAGGTAAAAGGAGTTTCCAGTATTAGTTTCCAGTTATTAGTTTAATCAATTATAAATAATGTTTCATAGAAACATTTTTATTTTAATATATTTTGCAAGCATTTTTAATGTGTATTTTCTCGTTTCTGACATCATAATCTAAAATAATGAGTTTTAAAGTAGTGAGTAAATAAGAGCCTTAAGAGCTCAAAGTATTTGAAAGTAAAAACCCAAAATGTCTATGCTTGATAAACATGTGAAACAACTCACCTGTGTACTCTCGGTATGTTTGTATTATTACTGACAGGATCTACCAACAAATGTGTTCTTTCGTTTGCTTCTCCACTCTACAAGTAAAAAGCATTGATATTTTAACAGATATTTAAAATAACGTAATCCAAATTATTTATTTTTTATTTGTTATTTTTTATCATTATCTTCTTTATTATTTCAACACAAATGTATCTATATATATATATATATATATATATAATATATGAGATTAATCCCTCAGACGTAATCACTGCTGCCAAGTAGGCGTGTTAATTGCGATAATTCTTCAAGGATTACCGCGCATATAGCATCGGTGATAAAAGTAAAAATATCAGCGCGAAAAAGCTTTTTTTCGCGGTTATTTTACCTGCGGTCCGTTGTCCTCTTTGCAGAAACTATAACAGCATCCCATGTTTGAACGGAATCCCTCCAACATGAACTTTCTCAATTAACAAGGTACATCCGTTATTACAAACGGTTGTTCATTTTTTGTTCCGGTAAATAATCGAGTGAATCAGCTGTGTCGTGTCGCCGCACGATTCTACCATTCTACGCCTACGGATACATCCGACACATACATGACAATATGACATACACAATCATAACTCCATAAATAAAAGCTGATCCAGTAAGATGTACGCAATTATTTGCAGCATAGAAGAATCTGAGAGCAGCCATGTCGGCCTTTTTCCCATAATCCGTGCACTAGCGTCATTACATCCATTTTTTAAATGGGTACTATGTAGTTACATCCATTTTCTGACATTGTCGATAAAATTATAATGTTGAAAATGGATGTGATTCGAGTCTGTGCTACATCCATAAATAAAATGTATACGTTTTCGTGCTACCAGGAAACTGTGCTACTAGCAAGAGTGAGAGATACGTTGTTTGACCCTTTGACTATGGCTGCGTTCCGTTTAGCGCTTACAGCTGCTTACAGCGCTCACAAAATCATTTCATCCTTGTTGTTTATCAAATATTAAACAAAGACAAATGATGCTTATAAGCGCTGTAAGCGCCAAGAGGAACGCAGCCTATAATAGTCAAAGGTCTAGGTCCATCTACAATGAGAGTAGTAAATCGTAAGCCGTAAGAAATTAACCAGTCACAGTCGAATATGAGAAGAATAATCGATTGTGATTGGTTAGCTTCTAACGGCTTACGATTTACTACCACAGTATAACCAGTAGGTCCACTTCGTATCGGCGCCTTTGATCTCCTTTTCCAGATCACGTGAGCATCCACCATGTTAAATTCAGGATCAAATTGAGAAAAGTGCCTCACAAGTAATAAAACAGATAAGTAATAATATGGATTCGATACAGAAATCAATAAAATTCAATGTGTGAATCAAATAAAACGTTTCATTAGTAACAATTATTCGTAGGAGTGATCATTAAAGAAATTTCTGATGTATTTGCTTANAAATTGTCTGCACATATGTATGTACGTTTCTATCATCTTACATTTCATTGGATCCAACTCAAAACAAAAGTTGCGCGGCGATACCTGCGCGAAGACTCAGTTTTTCGCTGAGTGGACCTACTGGTTATACTGTGTTACTACTCTCATTGTAGATGGATCTTTTGACCGTACCTCTCACTCCTGCCAACTCTGGTAGCACGAAAATGCACACATTTTATTTATGGATGTAGCACAGACTCGAATCACATCCATTTTTTACGTTATAATTTTATCAACAATATCCAAAAATGGATGTAGCTACGTAGTACTCATTTAAAAAATGGATGTTATGGCACTAGTGTACGGGGATTCTGACGGTCCCGAACATGGACGTAGGAATACAAGGACGGAGCATTTGCTGGTTAGATAGGCGAGAGGGGTTTTGATAATCGAAGTGAGGGGGATCACGCCTGGTTACGTGGTCACTTCCCTGACTTCGGTACATTTCGGTTATGTTCGACGCGTGCAGAGAGAAAGACGCTTCCACAGAACTGCGTTTGTGTAACCTCCACATACACCGACACTTCCGAGCTCACGGAATGAACCGAACCAGCACGGAATTAGCCGACGTCAGGGTAATAGTTCTACCTATGGTGCTCCCCCTTCACTTATCAACGTCCCATCGTAAAAGGCTCCGTCCATGTATTCTTAGGTCCATGGTCCCGAATGTAAAAGGCTTTGAGTATATAAACATGGAAGGGGAATGTTGGCTCGAAAACTGTGTTCAAGATGTGTGCGGCAGAGAAAGGTAGACGAGTAATATTCGTCTTCTCTGCGCATGCGTCGATCATTCGACAGACCAGAGAGGATCCGAGAGCGGACATGACGGCCTTTTGGCTGTAACCATTGACGTAGGAATATATGGATACGGTGAGTATAAACCTTTGACTATATAATCATGGACCGCTAGTTGCCCCGTCCCACCCCTCTCACCCATAAGGTTATGTATCCAACATGAAGTTGGCTTAAGCCCCGCGTGGCAAATTGCGGGAAATTTAAAGGATATTAGAAAGATGTAAGAATTAGATTGGGTGGTTATTAATAAATATTGTACCAAAATATAAAGAATAATTAATGTATATAGGTATAAATTTTTTTTGTCCTTGAAATATTGTCATTTTAGTATGAATGATTGTATACTTTGAATAAGTATATGTACATATCTTATTTATTTTTTAATCTATTTTCATGGAAAGCTTTATTATAACTATAATAATGCGTTGTGTTTTTATACAATTTAAATACAATGTGTAGATTATAAAGTATAATTATAAAAAAAACTTACCCGTAAAACTGCAGGTTGGAGTCATGTATTTCACCTTTTTTGCAGTATTTCTTCGACTCGCAACCTTCCACAAAACAATACAGTACCATTTTTGAGAAAAATGGTAAAAATAAAAATTAATTTTGAAGGAATTCTATTGCCAAGTGTCAGATACTGCTGCAGAGGCTGCTACC